ACAGGTTGTAAACAAAACATGAGGAATTACACGACGTGAACAAGCACAACACAAACATAACATGCAAGAATGATCCCACCATCACTTAGTCATCTTCTTCTTCAACCCTATTATTGTTGTTCCTGCTCACACAGCATTGCTCTCTGGATGTTTGGATTTAATATAGGTTTCTGTAGTTGCTTTAAAGAAGCCATGATCTCGCCAAAGCTTGGTCTTAACCTTGGATCCCTGTCAAAAAAATGAGATAATAACCATTACAGACCACAGAACTCAATTCCTTCAACAACAACAACAAAGTGAATTTACGCTTACGTCTGCCAACATTGTCTGATGATATCTGCGATTGCAGGATCCACATAATCAGGGATTTCAAGACGTCGATGTTGGAATCCAACCGCGCCAACAACTTGCATCGGATTCATCTTCCCCCACGGTTGTTGTAACGTAAAGAGTTCCCACAGAATGACTCCATAGCTGTACACATCACACCTGTTTCCACATAACGGACCTCCTTATCAAAAAAGGAGCATTCACATGGGAAAAGATGAGCTAGAAGCATGTGTTCTTTGGGTAAAGAGTTTAAGAAAAACCCTTACTTTTCATCTGCGGGTTCGTTTCTAAGCACTTCCGGAGCCATCCATTCAGCCTGAAATGAGCAAAACACAAAATCACATCGAGCTTTGAACAATGAACTGGCAAGTAAAGACATATAAGGTTGGTTTCTGACAAAACCACAGGTATGAACTGACAATATACTGGATCTTAGTTGAGATTAACTGTCCTAGTGGAGAGCAGTGAGTTTCTTTTAGCAGCTTACCGTGCCTGCTGTTGACTTTGACGAGAGGTATGTGCTTAGTTTCATTCTAGACAATCCAAAATCGCACACCTGAGATATACGTAAGCCATTAGAGATATGATAACATATTCCTAGTCGGAGACTGAATGATATTGGAGAGAAAGATTACTGACCTTGACAACCCAGTTTTTGTCAACTAGAAGGTTTGGAGATTTAAGATCACGATGGACAATTACCGGATTGCAGCTGTGTAAATAATTCATTCCACGAGCCTACAAAGGTTGGAATAAGAAAAAATTAAGAAGATACAAATAGATGTAGAGGTAAGAAGACGAATGGAGGACATATGAGTAAATTACAGCATCAAGAGCCATCCTCAGACGCTTTCGCTCATCTAATTGGTTATTAGGCCTGTGGATTAACCTATACAAGCTACCTCTGCACAAGCAAAAAAAATATTCAAATTTGGGAAAAGCTGGAAAAGCTGTACATCAAAGGTCCAAGAAACGTTTACGCAGAAAAAAGACTGAAGCTTTGCCTCATTAATTGATGGGAAAGGGATAGTTATCATCAAAGTTATGTGATCATAGCATACCTAGGAAGAAATTCTGTAACAATTGAGAGATTTGGTGGGCGGGTTACAGCTCCCATGAAGAGAACAATGTTGGGGTGTCTGAGCCTTCTCATCATCCGGACCTTGCATCAAATTGAAATGAAAATGTTACGAATCTGTCACTTAGGGGTTAGTTTGAAATTGGAAAGGGTACAAGAATTTCTAGAGAAGGAAAGACTTGTACCTCACTTCTGAATTCCTCCAGTGCCTCTCCAGTAATATCTTGGTCAATGAACTTCTTGACAGCCACTGCCTACCAAATCAAGAGTTTCATCGATATTGAAATAATAAGCAGATTTACCAGTTTTCTATCGCGTAGCCATACAAACAGAGAGTTACATTGACACTGTGTTAAGCTAAACAAAATGTGAGATACTCACAGTTCCATGCCAATCTCCCCTATACACCTCTCCATATGATCCTGCATCAAAAGAGGTAAATCTAAAACACTTATTCATTGTAGCACTAGTTACACTAAGGCATACAGTAGAGCATAAGTCAGTACCCAGTCCAATACGCTCAGCAACAGTAACTTCCTCCCACAAAATCTCGCATTCAGCAACATCATCAATTGCAGCATCGGATTTTGAACTTTCATTGCCAGTAGATCTGTCGGATACTCTTTCTCCTCCAGAATTTGGCCCGTGAAGGCCACCAGATCCAGCATCCCCATTGCTATGTGAATCTAGTTCA